AAACCCTTAACACTCGAGAGGCACTCATTTGTCCCCACAGAATTAACGGGCTGACGTAGAGATCACCCCTATCTGTTTACGACAGGTTTCCAGGGACCTTGGGTAGAACCCACTTTGTTACTGTAGTTGATGGCTATGAAGATGGAAACCACAAATACATGTAACGACAAGCATCTTTTTGTGTGAAAACATTCCAGAGTTCAGCACAGTCTTCACCAGCAATTAGAACTGGCCGGGAGCAGGGCTGTGCCTCCAGACCGAGGACCCACTGCCCCCGCCCCTCGCTGTGGAGCCCCTGCCGCTGAGTCTGGAAAGCCTGCTGACTGAGTGGAGGCCGTGTTGGCCGCAATTCACAGTCGCTCTGGACTGTTCTGGTCCTGCCAGCTGGGCTCAGGGGCCAGCACCTGAGGGCCTCAGTGAGCACTGCTGGGATCTGAAAACCATCCTTTTCTCTTGGACCGAGAATGGAAAATTGATAACAGTGAAGGCCAAATAGGTGCTTCTGGAAGCCCTCTTACAGACGCTGGGTTTTGTTAAGTGACAAGGAAGGGCAGTTTGTGAACAACTCACTAGTGGAATTCTGGCGTAACCCTCACATAAAACCAGTCCTTTTACTAGAAGATCACAATCTCAGCTTCTGCTTCAATGCAAGTTCATTGTTCAGCACCGAGCAGTGCTTTTCTCCCCCCCGGAGCCAGGATTAGCCGTGCACATTCTCACACCCAAGTGGTCTCCCCGAGAGCCAGGCAGAAATTAGGAGATTAAGGGCACAATGGCAGCAGCTCAGGCCCACCTGCTAATCGCCCTCCCACAGGCGGCCACCAGCAGACCCAGGCCTGTGCTCTCATGCGGGCACTTAATTATCTCAGGGCGGGCGCCGTGCAGGAGGCAGGCTCGGGGCCTCTGGCTCCTCTTTGTCTCTGATTCCTGCTGGGCTTTAAGGTCACACCTTCCTGGACGCTGCGGGGCTCCTGCAGCCCAAAGAGGCGCTGGGGCACGACTCCCACGTCACCGCAGCCACACTCGCTTCTGACTCGGCTGTGACCTCGCGGACACTCTGAGTCACACACGTAACAAGTGCTTTCAACAGGCTGCTGCAGTTTACAGTTTAGAAACAGAATTTCCACAAAGAGGGGAAGTAGAACGACATGGTCTGTAAGTATTAGAGGTACTGGAGGTGCCAGAAAACTCGGGGGATTAAAGGAGGGGAGGAGAACAGCAACTAGGGGTCACTGCTAAGAAGAAAACTATATTGGGTAAAATGGATTAAGAATTCTTAAAAACAACCAAGAGTTAATCACTAATTTATTTAAAAATCCAGTTGCATTAAGTACATCGAAACAATTGTACTTCTCTCTGCACGTGCGCACACGCACAGACACATGCACTTGGGTTTTACATATAAACTTACACACAGACTTCAGTCTGCTGGGACAACCCTTAGGCATGTCTAGGAGGCCTCCATGGAAAACGCTTACACTGCCTAAGCTGGGACTATACCATCTACCACTCAAAAATTTCAAGTCAGACCCTTGAGTCATTCTGGATCCCGCCCTTCCGTCCTCCTCCCTCGTCCTCCAAGCCAGGCACATCCCTCCCACTCACTCTGTCCCCACTGGCCCCGCCTCTCCCCGCTGCGGCCCCGCCCCTCCTGGTGCACCTGCAGCTGGGTCCTCGCCAGGATCATCGAGGCACCTGAGCGTGGCAGGTGTTGGCCTGTGTAGGGCAACAGCGCAGCCTCTGCTCCTTCCTTCTCTCCCCTGGGTTCCCACCTCCGTCCTGGGAACCAGGTCTCCTTCCCACCCAGGGATAGACGCACCCGACACGGAGCACGGGGTCCTGAGGCTGGGTGGCAGGGAAAGGAAAAGAAGGCAAGAGGAAAGTAGGACCTACTGAGAACAGGCTCCCCCCTCCCAGTTTGCCTGCAGAGCGCCCTGCTCCTGGGTCTGTGTGTTTCTTTGGAACTGTGTTCTCTTCCTTTTTCATGGACTGGAGGGGAGAACACCAGCCTTGGGGCATCTGTGCCACTGCAGGCTCAGTGGTCAGTGCTCTGCAGCTCCCGGCTCTGTTACCTTACAGCTCTGTATGTGGTGGGTGCATGGGGCCCCATTTCACAGATGAGCAAACTGGCCTCAGTCTGATAGAAACTTCCCCACAGCCGCAAGCAGAGACTGGAGGAGCTGGGTCCAAAGCCGGGGCCGCTGTCTGGTGGCAGCTGGCAAGGCCCCAGCACACAGGTTCGGCCTTCCGGTCTGCGTCCCAGAAAGGAGCTGAATGCCCATGGCGCTGGGAGGCGGGAGGCACGTCCTCATTGCACAGGGAGAGCTGCTGCAGGGACCAGCCAGCCGAGGACAGAGTCAGGGATGCGGCTTCGAGGACTCCTTCCGTTGCCCTTTAACAGAGGTCAACAGGCCAGAGGTCATGGAGAAGCCCTATTGAACCAGGTGAATGTGTATGTTCCCCAATAATTACCAAAGTCTGCTATAATGTGAATAACAAAATAATCCAAGCTGGAGGGATGGTTTGAATACCAAATAAATGTTAATTTAATTATTTAGAGATTAGTTATTTATATCTCTTCAAATGATGGTGATTTTCCTGGTTCACAAACTATTTCATGCTATGAGTTAGAGTACGGTTTATAGCTTCCAAGAACTTACTTATTAAAACTCTGTGATTGTACGTGTTTAAGGACTTACTCTGTTATTTCCATGTTATCTTCTGATCATTCAGATCATTGCCACGTGCTGCGTTAGCTCTAACACGTGTGACATGCCTCAGGATGGCCTGAGGCCTTGCAGACAGGAGGTGTCCTCGCCAAGCGCTCAGGGACCCTCTCACGTGCAGTCACTCCCCAGGGCCCCTGTGCCCCTCCTGCGCGGGCCTCGCCCTCACACGCCCCCCGGTTACAGCCCCACTGGCCCCCTGGTTAGGAGACAGTGTCCTTCTCACATCTGCACTCCCTGATGCCTCGTCCCTCTCTCGGAGGTCAGCACCCTCCCCGCCAGGTGCCGCCTCCGGTGCTCTCTCGGAGCCCCCCCCCACCCCCCACCCCCCCACCCCCACTCTGCTCAGGGCACTTGGCTGGGCCTTCATCGGCCGGGCAGACACATCCGTTCTGTGAGACTGGAGACCGTGCGAGTTCACATCCTCCCACAGCGGTTACCCATGCTCCTTGGATGCCTGACTGGGTTGGCTCTGAAGGAGCAGCCGTCAGGTAAAGGACGCATGGTCCACCCCCGAACGACGGAGCCTGGAGCTGGGCACAGGAGGAAGCTGCGCCCTCTTCTCCATGCAGAGCGGCAGGAGGCGTCCGAAAGCTGGCGTGCGGCCTCGACGCGTGGGCAAGGCTGGGCCTCTTTGAACCTCCACTCCCACTTAAATATAAAAAGGGTCGACAAGGTTGCATCAGAAAATGTGTTGGGAATCACACTGTTGTCCCAAATATAAAATTGCATTGTCTTATTTAAGAAAACAATCGGAATTTAGACAAAATGGTACTGTATATTGTGTACCTATAGCGACCTACCTCTGATTTAAATTTAAAGTTGTACCTGAAAGTACTTGGTGAATAGCTTTAAGGAGAGCATCAGACTTTTACATCGGAATCTAGAAAGCCATTCTATAGCCAATTGTACTGACCTGGGAGATTGTTGTTGTTAATCCTCACCTGAGGATATTTTTCCATTGATGTTCAGAGAGAGTGGAAGAGAGGGGAGAGAGAGAGAGAAAGAAACATTGATGTAGGAGAGACACATCGATTGGCTGCCTCCTGCACATCTCCCACTGGGGATGTGCCCGCAACCCACCTGGGGATGTTGAAATAGGCCCATTGGTTCCGTCAGAGAACCGACCTGTCTCGACGCTCTATCCACTGAGCTGACCCACGTCCATGTTTCCGTTTGCTTTGGAACAGGCTTCCATCTCTACCACAAGCTGCCCACCATCGTGCCCGAGAGCTGCAAGAGAGGGGAGAGAGAGAGAGAAAGAAACATTGATGTAGGAGAGACACATCGATTGGTTGCCTTCTGCACACTCTCTAGCCATGAGCCAAACCGCCAGGCCCACCTGGGATGTTGAAATAGGCCCATTGGTTCCGTCAGAGAACCGACCTGTCTCCTCCCTGCACCTGCCTGACCCACGTCCATGTTTCCGTTTGCTTTGGAACAGGCTTCCATCTCTACCACAAGCTGCCCACCATCGTGCCCGAGAGCTGCCTCCTCATTATGGTCGGCCTTCTGCTCGGGGGCATTATCTTTGGTGTCGACGAGAAGTCGCCTCCCGCCATGAAGACAGACGTGTTCTTCTTGTACCTCCTGCCCCCCATCGTGCTGGACGCGGGCTACTTCATGCCCACCCGCCCGTTCTTCGAGAACATCGGCACCATCTTCTGGTACGCCGTGGTGGGCACGCTGTGGAACTCCATCGGCATCGGCGTGTCCTTGTTCGGCATCTGCCAGATTGAAGCCTTCGGCCTGAGCGACATCACTTTGCTGCAGAACCTGCTCTTCGGCAGTCTGATCTCCGCCGTGGACCCTGTGGCCGTGCTCGCTGTCTTCGAGAACATTCACGTCAACGAGCAGCTCTACATCCTGGTCTTCGGGGAGTCCCTGCTGAACGACGCGGTGACGGTGGTAAGTCCCTCGCGGAGTGGCACCTGTGCTGCCCAGGCCTCTCGGGCCGGATGCTCTGCTGTCTGT